TGGATGGATTGATGGATGATAGATATGATGGATGGATTGATGGATGATAAATATGATGGATGGATTGATGGATGATAGATATGGTGGATGGATTGATGATAGATACAATGGATGGATTGATGAATAGATAGGATGGATGAATGGATTGATGGGTGATAGATACGATGGATTATTAGATCAGTCAGAGAGACAGACAGAAATCAATCAGTAGATGATAGAGATAAGAATTCTTTATGAGGTGGTTGTGGGGCTGTGCCAGGTTAGACCAACGTTTTGGAGAGTACACAGTTCGATACGCAGTCAAGTTACCCATCTTCATCCTTTTCAGAGCCAGCATAGGTCCACCTCTCTCTCTTTCCCCGCAGGGAACCTTCCTCCACCATGTGCCTCTGCTTCAGAAGAAGCTGCTGAAAATTCTCCCCTCCACCGGCTGATGAACTGCCTGAAGGAAATCCCCATCCAACGGCCAAGTTATCTCAACTCACCGAGCGCGTTCTCCTCTTCCTCCTCCTCCTCCTCCTCTTCCTCCTCCTCCAGCTGCAGTGAAACGGAAAGGGACCAGCAGAGCCCAGGAAGTTCCACCTGGTGGGACGGGAGCCAAGGTCGGCCTCAGTTGCCAGGTGGGTTGGGGAGGTCCTGGGTGTTTGAGAGGAGCGGGAATAAAAACTGACCAGATCCGTGGTTCCCCCAACCCTTCTGGCTTTGTGGACCCGCAGTGGCGGTGGCAGGGAGGAGGAAGAAGGGATGGTTTTCCGTCAAAGTGCTGCCACTCGCACAATCGGAGCTGTGCGCGTGGTTCTCCAACGCTTGTGTTGACCGGTTCAGAACGGGCTGTGGCCCAGTAAGCAGGCCGTGGCGAAGGCAGTGGGTGGCCCTGGTCCAGATGAACCTCTCGAATCAAAGGTCTCCTGTCACGTCCAGAGCGGAGTGTGAGACCCGAGATCTTCCCATCTTGGACAGGTTCAGTTAACACCCGTTCCCAGGATCCGAGAGCAATGTTCTTGTAGGACCAAAGGTGATGATGGAGGCCAAGAGGAAGCGTGAATGTGCTCAGCTCCACTTGTAAAAACGGCAGGCATGCCTGCCACTTGCCCAATTGGAGCTGTGCGCACGGTCCTTCAATGCTTGTGCAGACCGGTTTAGAACATGCCGCAACCCAGTAGCAGGCCGTGGCTCGGGCGGTTGGGGGACCATGGTCCAGATGAGTCTTGAATCAATACCTCTCGAGTGCAGAATATGAGAAGTGAGACCTTGCATCTTGGACACTTCCAGTTAACGTGGCTTCTCGGTTTTCTACATAGGATCCGAGAGGGATGCCCTTGTGGGACGGAAGGTGACAATGGAGCCCAAGAGGAAGCGTCCATCCACCCAACGTCCTGCAGAAGAGGAAGAGTGGTTGTCCTCCACGCAAGAAGCCAACTTTGCCAACGGGGGTGATGAAGCTTCTCTCCTTGGCCACCCACAGAATGATGCGAAGGACACTGCAGATGTCAAGCAGATGTTCCCGTCCACCCATCCTCTACGATGCTCCAGAGCTCGGCAGAACGTGATGTCCAGATCATCTGAAGCAAGGGAAGATGGGCCACCTTCCACACGTACGTAACACGGAAGCGACTTTTAGGACAATGAGTTGACCCCTGCGGGCACCTTAAATCAGGATCTTGGAGGATCCTGGTTTGCTGGGAGAGGGACAATTCTTTGAAGTACTTCAAGGGCTCCATGGGTGAGAGCAGGAAGGACAAAGTATAGATGATGGAATCCTAGAGCAGGAAGGGACGTTGGAGGTCTTCTAGACCAACTCCCTGTCCAAGGCAGGAGGTCATTCTTCCAATCCTAGATGTTCAATCATCCACTTTCCTTGAAAACCTCCAGCGGAAGGAGCAGATTATCAGGGCCCAGGAGATCTTGGTCGGCTGTTGGTGGCCCCCTTGTTCCTTCCTTGGTATCGCATTGGACCCCTTGGATAACGATGGGGAAATCTCAGGTAGCCTAAAGTAGAGAAAGGAGAAGGAAGTTTCCAGAAGGAAACTTAATTGAATGTCTCACTGTCAGGGTTCCAGCGATTGCCCTAATTAAATCATGAGCCTGAAGCCAAGCTTCAAAAGAATTCAAAAGATTTATTAGGAGAAACATGCCGGCATTAATCTAAATGAAGCCAACTCTGTCGTAAGTAATTCACAGTCACCTGTGACCCTGTTCCCCCCCCCTCCTCCCTGGGTGTGTCATAAATCAGATTCTCTAATGAAGCACATTCACCAATGAAGGATTTTCTTGGGCAGAAGATCCGGTAGCCTAGCTACAATCTTTGTAAGATAAAGGGTGGAATGTACTTCTGGTTTTAAACTGCCATAATGCTCCTTCAGATTTCCTTCCCCACCCGCCGCTTTGTTTATGGCAACTCGAAAACAGGCATAGGAATGCTTTACGAGTTGACACTCACGATCAAGGACTCTCACTGCCTGGAAGGTTAACCAAACCAGGTCAGGAGAAGTCAGACCAAGCCAAGTGTGATGACTTATATTGTCTACCCATCAGAGGAGTAGCTGGAGAACCTTCTCAGATCTCCTCCACTCTTAAAATAACCTCTGAGTGATTTCTGGAGTAAGGAACCATCTGTGAAACTTGGGGTGTCCAACTGTGGTAGCTATATCTACCCTATGTTGTTCACCTTCTCGGCGCAGTTCTTGTCCACAAGATCTTCACCCGTGAGTGGCAGAAGAGCCCAAGAGGCACAGCACCAGTCCAGACCCCAACATGTTTCAGCCCCCTAAGCCATAATTCTCAGGATGGGACACCTGAAGGAGACATGGACTGGAGTCCGGGAGAAGAGCAGATCCAACCACAGCCTGGGGACAAAGGTGGGCAGCCTCAGCTGGGACTGATGATGGGACTTGGTTGGGTTATGAAACACCCACAGGGAAACCCCCGCAGCTCAGAGAGCACCAAGGACCACACAGTTCTCCTCTTTCTCCTCCTCCTCCACCACCACCACCTCCTCCTCCTCCTCCTCCTCCTCTTCCTCCTCCCCACAACCACTTTCTAACACTGATGAAGTTAGCCAGTTGGGTGATGCAACAACCAAACTCAGTCTGCACCAAGGACCTCACAGTCCTCCTCCTCCTCCTCCTCCTCCTCCTCCTCCTCCTCCTCCTCCTCCTCCTCCTTTCTGGAAACTCAACTCCCTTCTAGCCCTGATGATGTTCCCTAGTTGGATCATGAAACGTCTGCAAGAAAACCATCCAGCTCAGAGACCCCCGCAGGGATCCCCCCTCCCAGTTCAATTCTGAGCTGCTATTAGAAGATGGGGATGAGCACTTCCCAGCTCTATCTGCCATTGCCCCGAGTTCCAATTCCACTTCCCTTTGGATGGGAGAGGATGCCAATGTGTTTTACTGCCATACTGGGCAAAGTTGTCCGGGAAGGATTTGATGTGGGGGCAGGAGTGGATTGTAATCTGCCTTAGCCAGAGGTGGGTCTTCCGCCGGTTCAGAACAGTTCTGGAGAACCGGTAGTGGAAATTTTGAGTAATTGGGAGGACCGGCCAATCTCATCTCTGACTGGCCCCACCAACCCCATCTATTCTCTGCCTCCCATTGAGTCCCAGCTGATTGGCTGGTTCTTCTTTGGTTGCCCTGCCCAGGAGAACAGAGCTGGAAAGCAGGTTAGTGGGGGTGGGGAGGGAATGGAGATTTTGCAATATCCTTCCCCTGCCACGCCCACCAAGCCGCGCCCACCAAGCCACGCCCATCAAGCCACAGAACTGGTAGTAATTTTTTTTGAATCCCACCACTGGCCTTAGCCAATTGCAGGACGGTGTTTCTCTCTTGGCCCAGAGGCAGCGACCGGAAGCCCCCTCCAGGGCCTGCTCAGGTGCCTCAAGGAGATCACCTACCCAAGCGCCTCCAGTCCCTGCCCCTCCTCGGCCGGGAAGAGGCCCAGAGAATCCAGGTACACCCAGGAGGAGGAAGAGGAGGAGGAGGAGGAGGAAGCAGCCCATTGCAAGAAGAAACCTTGGAAAAGTGAGTCTGGGAGGCTACGTCTCGGGTGAGATAGACCTGCTGGCTGGGGGATTCTGGGAGTTGAAGTCCTCCCCCTTCTTGAAGCGTGGGGGATTCTGGGAGTTGAAGTCCTCCCCCTTCTTGAAGCGTGGGGGATTCTGGGAGTTGAAGTCCTCCCTTCT